AATTAACTATTTAAAATTCCTCATTTTTTGTGTAATTTTTTAATTCAATTTTTTATTATAATTTAATTTAGATACAATAACGAAGTAATTTATATTTGGTTTAATAATCTAAAATTGTTATTTTTTGAATGTTAGTGTGTAATATTTTGGATGTCAAGTCAAAATACAATTACTCGATAAGTTTTGTGTATTACTCGATATGGTTTTATATTACTCGATATCTTTTGGTACATGTGATTTTAAGCTTTTATTAATTAAATTGATTTTTTTTTTGGTTTTAGGTTATTAGTTCTTATATGATGTTGTGGTTTTTTTGTATTAACTTGAATTCATTTTTGTTTTAGATTTATTGAAAATATTTGAAATTTAAATATGTGTGATATCTCACATGTTTATATTTTAAAATTACTTACATAAATGGAAAAAGAAAATCCTCGTTTCCCCGTTGGGGATGGGGATGTGATTATATTCCCCGACGAGGATGGGGACGGGAACGGGGATAGAGATAAATAATCGGGGACGAGGTAGTGTTTGATATTTTATCAACCAAGTTCATATGCAGTATCGTGTTTATGTAATGTTTGGTACGCAGACATGATTAAATTGAATTGGGTTGGACATAACATAATAGGACTGGAAAGATCAATTTATCTGTTTCGTGTTTGGCATTATTAGAACTTTGGACAAGTTACATTTAAATATTATTTAATAGTTTTATATAGTGGTGGCGGAAGAAGATGTAGTAATTGTGGTTGAAGCAGAGGTGGTGGAGGTAGAGGCGGTGTTAGTCGATGGTCGATGATGGATGTGGAGAACATGGAGAGATGGTGGAGGGCGACAGTGGTTGATATGGAACAAAGTTCACAAAAAATTCGAGGCTTCAATTATACATGTTTTAGCCTATTACTCGTCTATTCAGTTTGCCAATTATCGATTCCGGTTTTGGAAAAATGTTAGAAAATTGATTCCATTTAAGTAATTTTAAAATGTCACTTTGTTATTTAATAACATTTATATTATTCTAATTTGTAATATTTTTAATACATTATATGATTTTAACTTTTACAATTTATTTTATTTATTACTGATCCAGTTAATCTATAATGTTGGTACAACCGTTGCATATTTCCCAAAAAATTGAAACTTTTTTTTTTTTTTGTAACTGTGGGTTTTTGGACCAACTTAGACACTCAGCTAATATTCGGACGACTATGAATGATCTTGAGTCATCACAGATAAACCTCCATGACTACAAGGTTTTTTAATAAATTAGTAATATAGCCTACAATAACTCAAATTGATGACAAGTATTCAAGCTTACACCTCCTAATTTAAAAACATAAAAACGTCCAAATTGTTGTGTTAATTTGACCATGAATAATGTTTTAAAAACAATTTACTTACTCCATGAATAAAATTCTCAATATATATATGAGATCATATGAGACCAATATATTTATATGAGACTCGCGAGACCACTTTTTTACACTTAAAACTTCACAGCAAAACGCTGTGAAAGTTCGGATTTTTTGTACCTTCACAACGTTTTGCTGTGAAGTTTCAAGTGTAACAAAGTTTTCTCACGTGTCTCACAAAACAACATTGTCTCACATGATACCAAGTATGTATATATATATATATATATATAGAGAGAGAGAGAGAGAGAGAGAGAGAGAGATGAGCGATCAAATGCAAACCATCCAATTTGTACAAACCGTGCAAACCACCCTCATCTGTCAATTTCATTGTTCAATCTTATGAAAATTTTCATGAATTGTTTAATTTTGTGAAATTGTTTCATATAGTACTTTTTTTTGATAAAGTTGTTTCATATATGGTTATGAAATTGTTTCATATGGTACTTAATGAAATTTTAATGAAACTGTTTCATGTATTTCTCTAAAATTAAAACAATGAAGATGACAATATCTATGATTAACACTATCCACAATAAAAATAATTAATGAACCTCTCAAAATTACAAAAAAAATGAACAAAATGAAAAATTATAATTGATTGAATAAGGTTTGTACAAATAACATGGTTTGCAAAGTAAACTTTTTTTTATATATATATATATATATATATATATATATATATATATATTAAAGTTATCAATCATTAAAACATATTTAGAGCATTTTTTTTCAATAAGAAATGGTAGTTGGTAAAGTTTAGAATAATATCTCTTCAATCATTTTTGAGGTTCATTTTGGTTCTCTTTTTAATTCTAATTACGTTCCCTTTACCAATTATAAACGTATTCAATCATTACTCTTTTCATTTTTAAATATCAATCTATTCTATCGTTTAACCTACAGTTTATTTATTTTATTAAAATTATATTGTCGATCTCTACTTTTTCATATATGTAGCTTTGTATAGGGTTGATTCATACGTTCAATTTGTGAGAATGCCAGAAGAAATATGAGCTACATAATCAATTTATTAAAAAAATATCATAAATAAAAAATGGAAAACAATTTTAAAAATTAGAATAATTATCATTTTGAATTGGATAAATTCATAGAAATCTCATTATATCTTTTAGATTAATTTGTTTTTTTAATTTTAATTAATTCAAAATTTTTTAATCTAAGTTTTATATAAAAATTTCTAGATACACCTTTGATAAAAAAAATTCACAAATTTCATCAAATATCACATGTGATTATACGTCATTTGTATTCAGACATATATGATCATTTGTGATATGTACAAAAAATTATACAGTGAATCATATGTGATACGTAATATATCATACGTTAAACAAAATTAATCACATATGATTCAAAATGTGGATCAAAAAATTGAAAAAAGTGATGAAAATGATAACGAATTGATTATGTACATCACTTGTAATATTTGTTTAGAAAAATAAAATTACATAAAACTTGATTAAAAAATTAGGAACTAATTAAAACTAAAAAGCAAATAAATTTAAAAGATATAATGAGATTTGTAAGAATTTACCTAATTCAAATTTTATTTTAATTTCTAAAATTATTTTTTATTTATGGTATTTTTTTTGTTGATAGATTATGTGACTCATGTTTTTTCTCTGTTTTCTTACAGTTAGTTTGTTTATTGGAGGATCCTCTCTTTATTTATATATATATATATATATATATATATATATATATATATATATATATATACTATATTATAAAATATTTGACAAAAACTCTTAAAACTCATTTTTTATGAATAAAGTATTGTTTATTAATGCATATTACTTAAAATTTAAAATTACAAGTAAATTATGTGTAAGTACAACTTATTAAAACTTCATGTTTGAATTCATATAACTAACTGTAGATCAACATAATCAAATAGAATATAAACATCTCACTCTAAATATAAAAAATCTAAAATATAATTAAGATAATCATTAAGTTATAACAAGATACTTAATTATTATATTCATAAAAATTATATTATTAAAAAAATG